AATGACAAACACTGACTCCTGAGTATAAAATCCATGATCTCATCTTCACAGTGCTCAAAGCTCAATACACTGTATGTCATTCACAGTGAAGATGTATTAGTTGAAAATGGAGGAAATGGATATCGTGTTGTAGAGGATTATATGAAACTTGGTAGAAAAAACAATCCCCATAGATAAAAATGGAAGATATAGAAACAAGGAAATCTAAGGTGGTGGGTTTTTAATGCCACAGTTTTAATTACAGTGGGCTGAGGATAGGGCAGGTCACAGAGACCTCAGTACTAAAGCAACCAGAATGCTTGTGAAATTAGAGGACTCCACATGTGGCCATTGTGGTACCTTCTCACAGGGTGTAGTGTGATCTCTTTCCCTACCTTCACCCCACCTGTTGCATTGGCTCTAGTGCAACTGCTGACGTGGGAACGAAGGCTTTTCTCTGGTGAGTAGCCTACCACTGGCAGTAATTTCCCCTTTGCACTTCAAGAGGGTAAGGACAAGGGCTGACTGGAAAACAACACTTCTGATTTGTGTTGACAAAAATGTCAACGTTTTGAAATTGTTTTCATTCCAATGGGAAACAAAAATGAGACCGTTTGGAAATGTTCATGAAAATACAAGAGAGAAGCACTCTGCATCAGGCAGCTCAGGAACTTGACACTGGATTGTTAACACTATCCATTGGGTTATACAGTCAGTCTCTCAAACTTTCCTGCTGGATCTCTTCCACTTTGTAAAAATAATTAATTAAATCTACATAGGGCCAGAGAGAGAGACAGACTCTATAGTCCAGTGGTTAGGACACGTCTTTGGAATGCGTGAGACCCAGGATCAAGTTCGTGCTTTCAATGAGGCAGAGAAGGGATGTGCACCTTGGTTTTCCACGTCCCAGGCAAGTTCCCTAGCTGCTGGTAATTTGGGGTGGTGGGGAAGGTTTCATCTCTGTTCCTGAACCTGAAAAACCTTCCCAACAAAATTTTCAACTAACTGACATCTTTAGGGCAACAAAAATGATTAGGGGACTGGAACACATGACTTATGAGGAGAGGCTGAGGGAACTTGTTTAGTCTGTGGAAGAGAAGAATGAGGGGGGATTTGATAGCTGCTTTCAACTACCTGAAAGGGGGTTCCAAAGAGAATGGATCTAGACTGTTCTCAGTGGTAGCAGATGACAGAACGAGGAGTAATGGTCTCAAGTTGCAGTGGAGGAGGTTTAGGTTGGATATTAGGAAAAACTTTTTCACGAGGAGGGTTGTGAAACACTGGAATGCGTTACCTAGGGAAGTGGTGGAATCTCCTTCCTTAGAAGTTTTTAAGGTCAGGCTTGAGAAAGCCCTGGCTGGGATGATTTAGCTGGGGATTGGTCCTGCTTTGAGCAGGGGGTTGGACTAGATGACCTCCTGAGGTCCCTTCCAACCCTGATATTCTATGATTTAGACAGGAAAAAAAAATAGTTGAGAATTTTTCAACCAGCTCTCCAGAGTACTAAGATTGTTGCTGCTGCTCGTAGAGGTACACATGAAGGGAGGAGAGCAGGCATGGATTGGAGACCCCCTACTCCCAACTTTGCACACACTCACAACCCCAGCCAAAATATGGATCATGGAGTTGAGCTCACATTTAAGCAGTCTGTTGACACAGACATGATGAGCAGTTTAGGAGAATTTATTTAAGAAGTTATGTACACATTTAATTTTCATACTCAAATAATATGCTTCTTAAAGTCATTTGAAAGATTTTTGATTGTCTCCTGCATAGTGTAAACCTGCTTGTGCTTGTAAAAGGTACCAATTTCTTGTTTGTTGTGAAAGACAAGCTAAATTATAACAGAAGGAGCATGGGAGGCTCAATTGGATCAGTTTCCTGTGGATTTCTGTCCTTAGAAAAGTTTTGGGTTTTTTAAATGTGGTTTGCCAAACCCAACAAGAAAACAGATTAAAATACTGGAAGTGACAGACTACCAAACCTCTAACTGAAGCTGCTAAGCGAAAGTAAGGATGGTGAATACTAACCTATAGTGGTTACAAAATTTAACCTTCAAAATAGGATGGTCGTTAAAATATCACTGGTTCTAGACTATTCACCATTGTATGTAAGGGGATTCTGACTCCAAGACACGACATCACCTTTGAGTGGACATAATCTACCAATGGAAAGGTAGTTTTCAGCGTCCACTGAACTCACTGTATGTGTGTGTGCTTTGTATCCAGTAATACAGAATGCAAAAATTCATTTTGGTTTGAACTGAAACTGATTTTTTTTCCAGTTTTTCCTCACCAAAAGGAAAAAAAGTTCTTTTCAAAATGCCATTTCAGAACAGATTGTTTGGAAAATGTAAAAACAGACCATTTAGACTTTTTTTTAAAAAAAAATTCTTCATTTGCCTAATTCAATCCAAATTTGCATTCACAGTACCGAGGCTAGCGTCGACTTCCAGAGCGGTGCACTGTGGGTGGCTATCCCACAGTTCCCACAGTCTCTGCCGCCCATTGGAATTCTGGGTTGAGATCCCAATGCCTGATGGGGCAAAAACATTGTCGCGGGTGGTTCTGGGTACATGTCAGCCTCCCTCCCCCACCGTGAAAGCAATGGCAGATGATCGTTTTGCACCTTTTTTCCTGGGTTAACCATGCAGATGCCATACCATGGCAAGCATGGAGCCTCCTCAGCTCACTGTCACCGTATGTCTCCTGGGTACTGGCAGATGCCGTACTGCATTGCTACACAGCAGCAGCTCATTGCCTTGTGGCAGCAGATGGTGCAGTACGACTGGTAGCCATCGTCATCTCCTGGGTGAGGTCAGTCAGGGGCACCTGGGCAGACATGGGTGCCCCTGGCAGACCTCAGTGAGGTCTGTCAGGGGTGCCTGGACATAAATGGGAGTGACTCCAGGTCATTCTCTTCTTAAGTTTTGTCTCATGGAGATTCAGTCTGCCTGGAAACGATGACAGCTACAGTCGTACTGCACCGTCTGCTGGCGAGCACCCAGGAGATGATGACGGCTAGCAGTCATACTGCACTGTCTGCTGCCAGTCTACCCCTTGCTCTCCACTCCCTCCCTCCGTGAAAGCAACGGCCAACAATAGTTTTGCACCTTTTTCTGTGCGGGTGCCATATTGCTGTCAGCATAGTCATCCACCCGCTGCTTCTGCTGCCACTCTGCTCTCCTGCAGACGCCATACCACAGCAAGCATGAGCCCGCGCAGATCACCGTGGCAGTTACGAGCATTGTAAACACCACGCACCTTATTCAGCAGTATATGCAGAACCAGAAATTGCAAAAGCGGGCAAGGAGGCGACGGCAGCGCAGTGACGAGAGTGATGAGGACATGGACACAGACTTCTCTCAAATTATGGGCCCTGGCAATTTGGACATCATGGTGGTAATGGGGCAGAATCATGCTGTGGAACGCCGATTCCGGGCCCGGGAAACAAGCACAAACTAGTGGGACCGCATAGTGTTGCAGGTCTGGGATGATTCCCAGTGGCTGTGAAACTTTCGCATACATAAGGGCACTTGCGTATCCAGGTGGAGAAACCAGGGGGAGCGGAGATTAAAAAAAAGGTGCCACCCGCTAGTACTCACCCGGCGGTGCTCCAGGTCTTCAGCAGCACTTTGGCATTGGGTCTTTCACGCGCTCTGAAGGACACCCCTTCTCCACCAGCCACCACAATGCCACCGAAGATTGGAGCAAGTGAAGGACCTGACACTGAAGTGCTGCTGAAGACCCAGAATGCTACCTGACCAACCACCCAAGACCCAGAGTGTGAGTAAAAATTTAAAAGGCGTCAAGGAATTAAAAAGGTGCCACTTCTGCTCGGTGGGGGAGCGGCCGCTGTCCCGCTCCCCCCCTACCTACGCTACTGCATAAGGGCACTTTCATGGAACTTTGTGACTTGCTTTCCCCTGCCCTGAAGCACAAGAATACCAAGATGAGAGCAGCCCTCACAGTTCACAAGCAAATGGTGATAGCCCTGTGGAAGCTTACAACACCAGACAGCTACCGGTCAGTCGGGAATCAATTTGAAGTGGGCAAATCTACTGTGGGGGCTGCTGTGATCCAAGTAGCCAATGCAATCACTGAGCTGCTGTTATCAAGGGTATTGACTCCGGGAAATCTGCACGTCATAGTGGATGGCTTTGCTGCAATGGGATTCCCTAACTGTGGTGGGACGATAGACGGAACCCATATCCCTGTCTTGGCACCAGACCACCAAGGCAGTGAGTACATAAACTGAAAGGGGTGCTTTTCAATGGTGCTGAAAGCACTGATGGATCACAAGGGACGTTTCACCAACATCAACGTGGGATGGCCGGGAAAGGTACATGACGCTCACATCTTCAGGAACTCCGGTCTGTTTCAAAAGCTGCAGGAAGGGACTTTATTCCCAGACCAGAAAATAACCGTTGGGGATGTTGAAATGCCTATAGTTATCCTTGGGGACCCAGCCTACCCCTTGCTCCCATGACTCATGAAGCCATACACAGGCAGCCTGGACAGTAGTCAGGAGCTGTTCAACTATAGGCTGAGCAAGGGCAGAATGATGGTAGAATGTGCCTTTGGACGTTTAAAAGCACGCTGACGCAGTTTACTGACTCGGTTAGACCCCAGCGAAAACAATATTCCCATTGTTATTACTGCTTGCTGTGCAATACACAATATCTGTGAGAGTAAGGGGGAGATGTTTATGGCAGGGTGGGAGGTTTAGGCAAATCGCCAGGCCACTGATTACACGCAGCCAGACACCAGGTTGGTTAGAGTACAGGAGGGTGCAGTGTGCATCAGAGAAGCTTTGAAAACCAGTTTCATGATTGGCCAGGCTACGGTGTGAAAGTTCTGTTTGTTTCTCCTTGATGAAAACCTGCCCCCATGGTTTACTCTACTTCTCTGTAAGCCAACCGCTTTCCCCTCCCCGCTTCGATCACCACTTGCAGAGGCAATAAAGTCATTGTTGTTTCAAATTCATGCATTCTTTATTAATTCATCACACAAATAGGGGGATAACTGCCAAGGTAGCCTGGGAGGGGTCAGGGAGGAAGGAAGGACAAGACCACACTGCACTTTAAAACTTATTGAATGCCAGCTTTCTGTTGCTTGGGCAGTCCTCTAGGGTGGAGTCCTTGGCTGCCCGGAGGTCCCCGAATCACGTTCTTGGGCATCTGGGTGAGGAGGCTATGGAACTTGGGGAGGAGGGCGGTTGGTTACACAGGGGCTGCAGCGGCAATCTATGCTCCTGCCTTTCCTGCAGCTGAACCATACGCCGGAGTATATCTGTTTGATCCTCCAGTAGCCTTAGCATTGCCTCCTGCCTTCTGTCAGCAAGCTGACGCCACCTATCATTTTCAACCCGCCACCTGTCCTCACATTCATATTGTGCTTCCCTGGACTCTGACATTGCTTGCCTCCACGCATTCTGCTGGGATCTTTCAGTGTGGGAAGACTGCATGAGCTCAGAACATTTCATCGCAAGTGTATTTTTTTCACCTTCTAATCTTCCCTAGCCTCTGGGACGGAGATGATAGTGTGAGCGTTGAAACATTTGCAGCTGCGGGAGGGTAAAAAGGGAGAGTAGTAGTTAAAAAGACACATTTTAGAGAACAATGGGTAGACTCTTTCACAGTGAACCTTGCTGTTAACATTACATAGCACGTGTGATTTTGGTACAAGGTCGTATTTTGCCTCTTATATTGAGGGTCTGCTGGTTTGGTGTGAGAGATCACACACGCAGGGCCAGGCAACAGAATTCGGCTTGCAGGCAGCCATGGTAAGCCACAGTCTTTTGGCTTCTTTAACCTTCATAACATATGGGAATGGTTTCAAACAGCAGTGCCCTCTTTTCCCATACCAATCAGCCATTGTGTTGGCCATTTAAAATGGGTTGGCAATTTAAAAGGAGGGGCTGCGGTTTTCAGGTTAACTTGCAGCACAAACCCAACTAAACCCCACACACACACACAATTCTCTGGGATGATCACTTCACCCCTCCCCACACCACGTGGCTAACAGCAGGGAAGATTTCTGTTAAGCCACAGGCACAAAGGCCAGCAGGAACTGCCATCCCCCCACACACACACACCCAATTCTCTGGGATGATCGCTTCACCCCTCTCCCCACCGCATGGATAACAGTGGGGAATATTTCTTTTCAGCCACAGGCACACAGCTCACAAGGAATGGCCGCCTCTGAACGTCCCCTTAATAAAATTACCCTATTTCAACCAGATGACCATGAGGAGTGACCATCCAGGAAAGCTTTATGGAGATGTCCCTGGAGGATTTCCGCTCCATCCCCAGACAGGTTAACAGACTTTTCCAGTAGCTGTACTGGCCGCAAATGCATCTCAAGTCTTCAGGGCAAATTAATCATTAAACACGCTTGCTTTTTAAACCATATATTATATTTACAAAGGTACACTCGCCAGAGGTACCTTCTCCACCTGGCGGGTCTGGGAGCCCACATTGGGTGGGTTGGTTCCGGAGGTACTGGAACAGTTCCTGGCTCTCTGGGAAAATGGTTTCTCCACTTGCTTTCTGTGCGCTATCTTCAACCTCCTCCTCCTCCTCCTCCTCATCTTCCTAGTCCCCAAAATGCACATCCCTGTCGCGTGATAATCCATTGATGGAGTCAAAGCACAGGGGTGGGGTAGGGTGGCTGCACCCCCTAGAATGGCATGTAGCTCATCATAGAAGCGGCATGTCTGGGGCTCTGACCCCAAGCGGCTGTTTGCCTCTCTGGTTTTTTGGTAGGCTTGCCTGAGCTCCTTAAGTTTCATGCAGCACTGCTGCGGGTCCCTGTTATAGCCTCTGTCCTTCATGCCCTTAGAGATTTTTTCAAATGTTTGGGCATTTCATCTTTTGGAACAGAGTTCTGATCACACAGACTTGTCTCCCCATACAGCGATCAGATCCCGTACCTCCCGTTCAGTCCATGCTGGAGTTCTTTTGTAATTCTGGGACTTCATCATGGTCACTTCTGCTGATGAGATCTCCACTCACCTGCAGCTTGCCATCCTGGCCAAACAGGAAATGAGATTCAAAAGTTCATGGCCTTTTCCTGTCTACCTGGCCAGTGCATCTGAGTTGAGAGAGATGTCCAGAGTGGTCACAATGGAGCACTCAGGGATAGCTCCCGGAGGGCAATACCATCGAATTGTGACCACACTACCCCAAATTCAACCAGGCAAAGTTGATTTCGGTGTTAATCCCCTTGTCGGGGGAGAAGTACAGAAATCGATTTTAAGAGCCCTTTAAATAAAAAAAAATGGCTTCGTCATGTGGACGGATGCAGGGTTAAATCGATCTAATGCTGCTAAATTCAACCAAAACTCGTAGTGTAGACCAGGGCCTAGATACTTTTGTTTGGGGATGTTTAAGTTTTATCTGGACTCTGAGGTAAGAGCCTTCAAATGTTTGCACAAGTGCTCCTTTCAGAAGGCTTTAGGAAAGGGGGATACACTACTCTAAAGTAGAGTGTTTGGCTTCTCCTTAACTGGGCTGTTTAAGTGATCTCATATTACCTCATTAAAGGGAGGAAATGAGGCAGGCCACAGTAGATCCACACTCCACTGCCAAAGGGTGTTTGGCAGCAATGGTGCCCCTTCTACAGTTACTTGTTTCCCAATTGTATCTGGTGTAGATGGAAACACATGCCAGGAAAAAGATGGAGCTGCACTGCTGCAAACACCATCTGAAAAGGCAGAGAAGTGAATTGGGAATTGGATGCTAGTCTTAGGAGGAAAGCTGTGCCCTAGGCACAAAAATTCTGATTGATCTTATGGTCACCTTTGGCTGTCAGTTATCAAGCGAGAAAGGAACTATTTGTCAGGTCTGGACTGACATTCCTCATATTGTAGTGGTGCCTTGCTTTGGTAGACAGTATACAAATGTACAGGAACTGGAAGATACAGTCCCTGCCCCACAAAGAGCTTATAACCTAACTTCTTGGGACATGACAAACAGATAATAATAATCAACATCAAAAATACATATCTTGCTAGTTACATTTTTAGAAGGTCTCCCCTTTCAATGCTCCCAGCCAATCTGCTTCCCCACTGCTGATCCAATGTGCCCCCTCAACTCTCCTCACTCCACAGAATTACCTTTCAACTCTAGGTGAAAACAGGGTGCAAAATGGAGTACAAGTACCACCTCCATGAGGAATACAGAATTGTTAATTGAATGGAAAGGAGGAAATATTAAGTCAGACAAGAGGCCATTATAGTAAATGTTACATCTTACCCCTGTGGTCCAGAATTAGCCATTTATTGTTGACAGATATTTTTACCTCCTGCACTGGAAGACTGGCATTTTCCTATTTTATTGCTTCATTTGCTTTGCATTATGCCTTCCTACCCTCAAGCCATAATGCTACCACTGCTGCATGCTCCAGGAGAGACTCAATAATAGTAGGGTACATTCTGCTGAATAAAACAAGTACATTATTTACACTATTCTCTGCCCAGACTCTTAAAGCTACTCCACATCTGTTGCATTTCTTGGGTGTCAGTTTATTGTTTCAAATAACAATCTTACTCAGATAACACTGTTAATACAAAACAACTTGAATAGTAATGCATGAGTCACTCAGGTAAACACACCTTATACAGAATGTATTTTGATCAATATTCAAAATCAATGTATAGCTGAACCTGCTTATTAAATCTGACAGAACTTAATCATCCATGGAAGGATGCTTCCTTTGCCTGTTTATCTGGACATCTGCAATACACATGATTATGTTCACTTGACTCCTGACATCTATGCTCAGTGTGTACTCTCTCCACCTATGGACTAATCATTGACCTTCTGCTCTGAGAACCTTAGGTCAGTCCCTGTTCTGGGATCTCAAGATTTCCTCACTACATTCTAAAATCCTCTGGCTTATTTGTTCTAATGTTGCCCATTTTATCTCACATTTACAACTATCCTCAGACCCACAGAGAAAATCTCTATCCCTGAAGTACTCTGGTGTTCAACAAAATTTACATTAGTCTAGGGCTAGTTTCTCCAGGAAAAATCCAACAAGACACTTATCTTCCCTACCTGTGGAGATAAGGACACTTATTCAACTGCAGAATCTTTCCTTCCTCCCAGTTACACCTAATTATTATTACACCCTCCTTCCATTGCTCTAATCCCTGAGGGTTTTTTTGAAATTTTCTTTTGGGACACCTTCCCTGGTAGGTTTTCTTTTCAATTTGGGCAGGATGTCTTCAACTTTCTCCACCATAGAGCACTTCCTGCAGTTTCCACCCAGTCTAAACTGCATGTTAGGCTATTTCTCTGCTTTATATGAACTCTTTCCATTCTGCAGAACTTTACACTGTCCTGGACTTGAAATTCCTGAGTCCTCTCTTCCTATGTGCCCCATAAACCTCCTAAAACAATAGATTGTCTATCTATCATGACTTGACTCATCGAGTAAAGCACTGTGAGAGTTTGATGGTTTAAGTTACCATTCTCAGAGCATGATGCATAAGACTCAGGATCCTGACATAAGGAAGAAAGAAGAGCAGCAGAATATGGACCCTGGACTTCAGAAAAGCAGAGTTTGACTCCCTCATGGATCTGATGGGCAGGATCTCCTGAGAGAACAACATGAGGGGGAAAGGAGTCCAAGAGAGCTGGCTGTATTTTAAAGAATCCTTATTGAGGTTACAGGGACAAACCATCCCGATATGTAGAAAGAATAGCAAAATATGGCAGGCGACCAGCCAGCTTGGCTTAACAGTGAAATCCTTGCTGATTTTAAACACAAAAAAGAAGCTTACAAGAAGTGGGAGATTGGACAAATGACCAGGGAGGAGTATAAAAATATTGTTCAGGCATGCCGGAGTGAAATCAGGAAGGCCAAATCACACTTGGAGTTGCAATTAGCAAGAGAGATTAAGAGTAACAAGAAGGGTTTCTTCATGTATGTTAGCAACAAGAAGAAAGTCAAGGAAAGTGTGGGACCCTTACTGAATGAGGGAGGCAACCTAGTGACAGAGGATGTGGAAAAAACTAATGTACTCAATACTTTTTTTGCCTCGGCCTTCATGAACAAGGTAATCTCCCAGACTACTGCACTGGGCAGCACAGCATGGGGAGGAGGTGACCAGCCCTCTGTGGAGAAAGAAGTGATTCGGGACTATTTAGAAAAGCTGGATGAGCACAAGTCCATGGGGCCGGATGCGCTGCATCCGAGGGTGCTAAAGGAGTTGGCGGATGTGATTGCAGAGCCATTATCTTTGAAAACTCAATGGTGATCGAGGGAGGTCCCGGACAACTGGAAAAAGGCTAATGTAGTTCCCATCTTTTAAAAATGGAAGGAGAAGGATCCACGGAACTACAGGCCAGTCAGCCTCACCTCAGTCCCTGGAAAAATCATAGAGCAGGTCCTCAAGGAATCAATTCTGAAGCACTTAAGAGGAGAGGAAAGTGATCAGGAAGAGTCAGCATGGATTCACCAAGGGCAAGTCATGCCTGACTAATCTAATTGCCTTCTATGACGAGATAACTGGCTCTGTGGATGAGGGGACAGCAGTGGATGTGTTATTCCTTGACT